CTCCATTTCATGCCTTTTTTTCAAACCTTTTCCTGTATTCCTACGGTTTTTCAAAAATTTCCTTCCTATTAATATCTCTATATTTCTTCATTTTCCCAACGGTTTCCTCAATTTTCCTTCTTTTTTTCCAAGTATTTTTTTCTTAATTTTTATGGTTTTTCAATATTTTTTTTTTTCCATTTTTTGTAATTATTCGTCACTCCTTCCTCGACATCACTCCTCATCCCCTTGCAAACCGTCTTGCTCCAACGGACGCTGCTCTCCGTTGAGCTTCGGACCCTTAATTTTTTCAATATGCTTACCTCTATGTTCCTAGCTTTTTCAAAGCTTTACCTTGCCTCCATTTCATGCCTTTTTTACAAACCTTTTCCTACGTTCCTACGGTTTTTCCAGAGTTTCCTTCCTGTAATTTCCTCATTTTCCCAACGGTTTCCTCGATTTCCTTGGTTTTTCCAAGCTTGCCATTCATTTTTTCCTCCAGTTTAATTGTTTTTTTCACAATTTTCCTCAATTTTCCTCCATTTCTCCCCTGTTTTTAACGATTTTCCTTCATTTTCCTGAATTTTTTCCTACCTTTTTCCTTCCGTTTTCAGGTGACCTAGGGAGAATCAAACCCCACCGTAACCAAATTGCCTAGTGGTACAGCCCCCCTAAAAAATTCCAATTGGCCACCCTTATCACCGCCCGATATTGAGCCTTGGGCAACCTCCCCACCCCATACCCCCTATACTCACTTCGTTCGCGAAAACAACTTTGCCTAGCCCATCGGCTGGCTTTCGTAATAATATGTACAAAAATTCTAAAATAACAGCTATTAATTCCTTGATCTTCGATTCTTGCTCTAAAATTCCATTCGAACATTTTTCCCCCAGATACATGAAATTTCATTATACAATAATTTTGATTCATCTATTCTTCGCCACATATATCCACCCTCCGACACATTTTTAAATTAATTTTGATAATACATATAATCTAATATGCATATATCAAATATAATTCAAATATCATGTACACATATTTTTTTCATTCACTCTTGGCATCTTTTTACCTCATATATCAAGTTATGATTTCCAACACAGCCACGTGATTTGTTTTCTTCTTCTCAAAATTCTTTGTGACCTAATCAATCCTAATCAATCCTAATCCCATAAGTTTATTGGGAAAGCACAATTCCCCAATGTAGACGTGTATCTATCATGATCTATCCGCCAAAGTTTAAGTCTGAGCTTCCAGACCAGACAGCAGGGCCCAGCCATCGAAGGTATCAATGACCTCTGCAAATGTCACCCTCTTTCATCTTGGAATTGAGGGTGTTCCAAATTCTGTGCTTAGCCCCACTCATATACTCATAGGATCTCATAAGTCTGCTTGCTTTTGGGACCATGAGAGTTTGGAGAATTGCGTTTCATTTCGTTCATATGACGTGTCACTTTTCTTGCAACCTTTGAGACCTCTTTTCACCTGAACCCAAATTCATGAGAGTTGCTGCGCTGAGCACTGCACTGTCAGGTTGAAATCACTATAGGCCTCCAAGGCCAGCGGAGATGATATCTGGATGACCCCAGGAGCCTTGGAACTTTCGAACCCTGGGACAGCTATTGGTTTGGTAAAGCGTCAAACAGCACAGGCATGGACTAACTTGGGAGAACAGGAAAGCCCAAAATCCCATGGTTGATCATTGCCACTGTCCCAACCCACATCGTACCACAGCTTGATGACCATGAACCGGAAGAATGGGCCTCACGCACCTGTCCAACTTGAAATTCTCGCATTCCGGCCAGTAGAACCTCCCCCAAAGTCAGCATGCAGTATGGCCAAACGTGGGAAAATCGGCCAAGACAAATGTCCTCAGTGGATTACAGGCCTCCCGAATTAACACAATTCATCTTATGCTGAATTATGTTTGTATTTGCATATATTTGCTGTATTGTTGCTGTTTTTGTTGGTGGTATAAACTTCATTTCCTGCTTAAACCAACATCCAGAATGAATTATTGGCTCCCAATATGGGGTATACCCTCAAGTAAAAAAAACGTTTTGACAAGGGAACATGATGATCCCGCTCAAAGCATTGCCTCTCCGTGGGCCCCAAGCAGCTGCCCCACCATCTTGGCTGAGCGGCACAACCTGACAAATTTGACAGACAAGGCAACCCTTCAATACCGGGGGTTTCCATAAATGAAGGTACCCCAAAATGGATGATTTAGAACGGAACATCCCATTGAAATGGATGATTTAGGGGTACCACTATTTTAGGAAACACCCATATGTTCTAATGACGACTGAATGAGAACTGGGGTATCCCCATGGATCGGAAACCCATATGGCTCTGAACATTGAGCAGAAAATCCTGAACATCCACTGATCTATGATCATTTTACCATATTTTTTTCTACTCCCTGTGGCCATGTAGGCCATGAATGTAAAAGCCATGACCATGAATTTGCGAATTCTTCTTGTGATCACTATAAATCCCTGGTTGATGGAGCTATAGACCAGGCCGACGAAAGGGATCCTGAAAAGGAAAGCTTCTCGTTGGGGGTCAAACGTTGGTGAAGCAAAAACTGCCAGCGTATTATACCCGAAAAACATCAAAGACCTTCAAAACAGTCAGGAGGTAAGGAAATACTTCAATGATAAATATCAATATATAAACATCAATAATCATCATAAACATCAAAAACATCAAAAAATATCAATAAACATCAGTAACCATCATAAACATCAATTACTACCCCACAATAAACATCAATCACCATCAATTACTACCCCACAATAAACATTAATTACTACCCCACAATAAACATCAATAAACATCAAAAACATCAACACACATCAATAAACAACAATCAACATGAATTACTACCCCACAACAACCATCAATAAACATCAATTACTACCCGACAATAAACAACAATAAACATCAATTACTAACCCAAAATAAACAACAATAAACAACAATAAACAAGAATCAACATCAATAAACAACAATAAACAACAATAAACAACATTAAACAACAATAAACAACAATAAACAACAATAAACATCAATAAACATCAATAAACAATAATAAACAAGAATAAACAAGAATAAACAAGAGTAAACAATAATAAACAACAATAAGCAACAATAAACAACAATAAACAACAATACACAAGAATAAACAAGAATAAACAAGAATAAACAACAATAAACAACAATAAACAAGAATAAACAAGAATAAACAAGAATAAACAAGAATAAACAACAATAAACAACAATAAGCAACAATAAACAACAATAAATAACAATAAACAACAATAACCATCAATAAACAAGAATAAACAAGAATAAACAACAATAAACACCAATAAACACCAATAAACAACAATAAACAACAATAAACAACAATAACCATCAATAAACAACAATAAACAACAATAAACATCAACACACAACAATAAACAAGAATAAACAACAATAAACAACAATAAACAAGAATAAACA